TCAAGCCCAACACTGGATTTTAAATCTGAGCTAAAACGGTTTTAGGCACTGATATTTAGGCTTCCCAATTCTGTTACAGTGATTTTTAGGCTTTGTTTGTTTGAGGCAGTGAAGAAACTGAACGTAACTTGGCGTTGGGTTACCTTACTAACCACCATTATACCAGCCATGGCAATTTGGTTTCTTAGATTGCCTCAAGTGTATCAATTTTGTGTGGGTGTGTATAAGAAATCACGGGTGTTCAGAATTTGAATTTATGAAATTAATTACTTTGATTTTCAGGTTTTTACAGTTTGAGGCATTGAAGAATTGAATGCAACTTGGCGTGGCGTTACGGAATTAACCACCGTTGAAGCGGCCCTGGCGATTTGGTTTCTTTCATTTCCTCAAACGCCTAAACTTCGTGCTGGTATGGGTAAATATTTTATGGCATATGATGATTTTGAAGTAATGAAATATGTTTCTCTGATTTTCAGGCTTTGTTCATTTCAGGCAATTTAAGAAACCAATGTAATATGGCGCGGTGTTACGCAATTAAGCACCATTGTAGACTCCATTGCGATTTGGTTTCTTAAATTGCCTGAAATGTAGCCATTCACGTGGGCCTGTGTATGAGTTTATGGCTGTGATGATTTTGAAGAAACGAAATCTGTTTATGAGATCTTTAGTCTCTTTAAGTTTGAGGCATCGTAGGAATGAACGTATCTTGGTGTGGCACTACAAAATAAAACGTTGTTGCAGCCATGGCGAATTCGTTTCTAATGACTCAAGCACAAAACCAATTTCAAATTTGAGCTAGAACGGTGGTTAATTCGGTAATGCCACGCCATATTTCGTCGGTTTCTTCAATGCCTCAAACGAACATAGCCTGAAATGTATCCATTTTACTCTGCTGTGAATGAGTTTATGGCTGTGATGATTTTGAAGAAACGAAATCCGTTTATGAGATTTTTAGCCTTTATTCATATAAGAGACAAACGTATCGTGGCGTGGCATTTCAGATTTAACTGCCGTTGTAGCCATGGCAAATTCGTTTTTGATATGAATCAAGCCCAACACTGGATTCTAAATTTGAGCTAAAACGGTTTGATGCCCTGATATTTAGGCTTCCCAATTCTGTTACAGTGATTTTTAGGCTTTGTTTGAGGCATTGAAGAAACTGAACGTCTTGGCGTTGGGTTACCTTACTAACCACCATTATACCACCCATGGAAATTTGGTTTCTTAGATTGCCTCAAGTGTATCAATTTTGTGTGGGTGTGTATAAGAAATCACGGGTGTTCAGATTTTGAAATTATGAAATTAATTAATTTGATTTTTAGGTTTTTACAATTTGAGGCGTTGAATTGAATGCAACTTGGCGTGGCGTTACGGAATTAATCACTGTTGAAGCAGCCATGGCGATTCGGTTTCTTTCATTGCCTGAAACGCCTAAACTTCGTGCTGGTATGAGTAAATATTTTATGGCATATGATGATTTTAAAGTAATGAAATATGTTTCTCTGATTTTCAGGCTTTGTTCATTTCAGGCAATTTAAGAAACCAATGTAATATGGCGCGGTGTTACGCAATTAAGCAATATTGTAGACTCCATTGCGATTTGGTTTCGTAAATTGCCTGAAATGTAGCCATTCACGTGGGCCTGTGTATGAGTTTATGGCTGTGATGATTTTGAAGAAACGAAATCTGTTTATGAGATCTTTAGTCTCTTTAAGTTTGAGGCATCGTAGGAATGAACGTATCTTGGTGTGGCACTACGAAATTAAACATTGTTGCAGCCATGGCGAATTCGTTTCTAATGAATCAAGCACAAAACCAATTTCAAATTTGAGCTACAACGGTGGTTAATTCGGTAACGCCACGCCATATTACGTCGGTTTCTTCAATGCCTGAAACGAACATTGCCTGAAATGTATCCATTTTACTCCGGTGTGAATGAGTTTATGGCTGTGATAATTTTGAAGAAACGAAATCCGTTTATGAGATTTTTAGCCTTTGTTCATATAAGAGACAAACGAATCTTGGCGTGGCATTACAGATTTAACCGCCCTTGCAGCCATGGCGAATTCGTTTCTGATATGACTCAAGCCCAACACTGGATTTTAAATCTGAGCTAAAACGGTTTTAGGCACTGATATTTAGGCTTCCCAATTCTGTTACAGTGATTTTTAGGCTTTGTTTGTTTGAGGCAGTGAAGAAACTGAACGTAACTTGGCGTTGGGTTACCTTACTAACCACCATTATACCATCCATGGCAATTTGGTTTCTTAGATTGCCTCAATTTTATCAATTTTGTGTGGGTGTGTATAAGAAATCACGGGTGTTCAGATTCTGAATTTATGAAATTAATTACTTTGATTTTCAGGTTTTTACAGTTTGAGGCATTGAAGAATTGAATGCAACTTGGCGTGGCGTTACGGAATTAACCACCGTTGAAGCGGCCCTGGCGATTTGGTTTCTTTCATTGCCTCAAACGCCTAAACTTCGTGCTGGTGTGAGTAAATATTGTATGGCATATGATGATTTTGAAGTAATGAAATACGTTTTTTCTGATTTTCAGGCTTTGTTCATTTCAGGCAATTTAAGAAACCAATGTAATCTGGCGCGGTGTTACGCAATTAAGCACCAATTTAGACTCCATTGCGATTTGGTTTCTTAAATTGCCTGAAATGTAGCCATTCACGTGGGCCTGTGTATGAGTTTATGGCTGTGATGATTTTGAAGAAACAAAATCTGTTTATGAGATCTTTAGTCTCTTTAAGTTTGAGGCATCGTAGGAATGAACGTATCTTGGCACTACGAAATTAAACGTTGTTGCAGCCATGGCGAATTCGTTTCTCATGACTCAAGCACAAAACCAATTTCAAATTTGACCTACAACGGTGGTTAATTCGGTAACGCTACGCCATATTACGTCGGTTTCTTCAATGCCTCAAACGAACATAGCCTGAAATGTATCCATTTTACTCTGGTGTGAATGATGTTGAAACACGGGCTTGTCACGTTTTCGTACTAAAGCCGTGTTTGTTTTTATGACAGGTTTTGATAATGCCAAACCGCCGTGATCAAGTCAAATATTGAATATACAAGGCGAAGAATGAAGATAAGAACAAGAGCTAAACGAAGACCAAGGACGAAGACTTTAGTCTTAGTATCGTTGAGTCGGTCTTCATTGTGATCAAAACCGACCCAATCTTTACACCTTGGCTCTTTAGGCTAAAATCTTTCATTGCATTTCTTACATCATAAAAATGTTTTTCAAACTTGTTTTAGTCATTAAAAACACTTGGTGTTCAACCAAACCAAAACCAGGCCATCCAGTGTTCGGCTTTCAGAAACCAGCATTCGGCTTTCGGTTATCGGCATTGGTTTTTGGAATCCGAACCAACCAAATGGTTTTCAGCATTTTATGATTGGTTTCCACTCTTTGGCATGATTAAACACTTCTCCAACAAAAACACTTTGAAAACCATCTTTCGCTTTTGGTCGTTTGACAAAACCACGCAAAACGGCATAAACTTGGCTAGCCGTGCTTTTTACTCAAATGACGTGGTTTTTAAAGTAACTCACTTGATTTCTTAGCCAAATACATCAAACAAGTGTTTCAAATACTTGGTTTTTATTTTGGAGAACTTTGAATTTTTCGGTCGGTTTTTGCATCGGTTGGCTAGGCCGTGGTTAAGGCAAAGACCATGGGTTTTTGGCTAACCACCCACCCAGCGATGGGAAGATCTTCCCATCGATGGGTAAGCGGTCCCTTAGCCAAACCAACTTCCAGAACCATGCCAAACAGCGATAGGAAGCTCTACCCATCGCTGTTAAAGCCTTGGTGCAAAATTAACACAAGGCAGAACAACCTTGCCCAGCGATGGGAAACCTATCCCATCGATGGGAACCCAGCGATGGTAAGGGTAAACCATCGATAGGAAGGCATGACCGTTGGAAGTCATTTAAGGTTGATTCTTTCCTTGTTTGGAAGTCAACCTCCCACCCAGCGATGGGAAGCTTGTACCCATCGATGTGTAGGCAACAGTTGGCTTCAAAACTGAAGGAAAATTGGCTTACCAGTGATGGGTAAGTTCCAAACATCAATGGGAAGCCAATATCCTGCAGATCCCAAATCTTTTCAATCCCATAAATCAAGTCAATCACCCCTTTAATGCATTGGTCCGTTGGAGTCTATTTTTGCACTATAAAAAGGGGTGTTTGGGTCTGCTTTTCATATCAATTCACTTCACAATATTCATACTTTCATTGCATTCAAATAACATCATTTTCCATAGCTTTCTAGAGCCAAATTGTGTGAAGTTTGAGTTGTTCTTGAGCGTATATATTTTACTCAATATCCACTCTAAAAGAGAGTATTTGTTCTTGAGTGTTTGGTGTTGTATACACGTTAAGGGAAGCTTGTTTCCCTTGGTCGTACGAAGGAAAGGTATTTTTCCTTCGGGTTGAAGTCTTGGAGTGTGGTATCTCCGAGCAAGTGTTGTTGAGGCTCGTGGGACT